CATCCATTGTGTCAAGCACATATGTACATTTGTTGCCCTCATAATTCTCAAAACATTTGCCTTCTACTTTAGCCCTTAATATCAGTTGCTCATTTCCCCCCTCCCTTCTCACTCCCCCCTCCCTCATGAACCCTTCATAATTCATAATTATAGTTTTGTCGTAAGTTACATTGTCCGACGTCTCCCTCCGCCCTCTTCTCTGCTGTCCATCCCACAGAGAGGAGGCAGTACTTAGATTCTTGTAATCGGTTCCCCCTTTCTACCCCACATTCCCTTCACCCTGCAGGCATCGCCCCTCTCACCACTGGTCCTGAAGGAGTCATCTATTGTGGATTCTCTGTGTTTCCAGTTGCTATCTGTACCAATGTACATCCTTTGGTCTAGCCAGATTTGTAAGGTAGAACTGGGATCATGATAGTGGGGGGGAGGAAGCATTTAAGTAGAGGAAAGTTTTATGTTTCATCGTTGTGTAGCAATGCTTTTTTATTTACCCTTATATATACCACCTACTGAAACCTGTGCTACCTACGTCAACCACCTATTTTAATCCAAACAAAAACAAAAACAAAACACCTATGAAATTATATAATCCTTCAAGTACAGGTTAATTCCCAATTTATGAATAGCCTATGTTCAAAAAGTTGAGCTTTACAATATTTTCAAATTTTGTTTTCTCAAATTTTTAGCTTGAGAAAGAAGTAAATGTTATGATTTTGGAAATGGAATTCCTCTCCATTTCCGTTCTAGTCTACCACAAGGAAGACGAGCCTTCAAAGATAATAGGAAATGGATAAAGTCAAATACTCTAAGCAAAGTAAAACATATACATCAGCATTTCAGTATATAGCTACTCAATTGAAGCAACAATTAATACGTGTGTATATTCCGACCAAAATGAATTATAGATAAACAAGGAAGGGGAAAAAAATCACATTTAATGATATCCATTCTAATAATATTCAAAATAAAGAATTCAGATGAACTATAATTATCATGCACAGCACTCAGCCTAATTTCTTAAGAGTTAGAAGGGATTTAATAGCAACTCGTTATTACTGATTACTTCCATCTAAATATTTTTATCAGCACTTTCCCCATTCACAACATTCATGGTTTCCTGCTGTACATCAGGTGGTTTCTTACGTCTCTGCTAACTTCAGTTAGAATGTGGTAACTCTATTACTAAATACGAAGGGTTTCGAAATATTAATGGAAATATCCCATTATCTTTTAATTCCATTTTTCCAAGGATATTTTGAAGCCCCATTGTAGTTTATGATCCTATATTCTTGCCTAAACCATGTGACAGCAAAATAGTTGTTGTTTTGTTAGAAGCAATTAATGAAATTTATAAAAACAGAACAAGTATACAGTAAGTTACTGGTGAAAGCAGCAAATTTCTTATTAAGTTTTTTAGGGTATTTTTAGTATAAGTCAACAACTGTACTTGAAAAAAGTAACCATTAAAATTTCATTATATTGTGTACTTATATTTACAGTACTGAAGTTGAAAAACATAAGCTTAATAAATATATTGCCTAGAATTACCTTTCAAGAGCTGCTCTCCGTTTTTCCACAAATTCAGTGGATGATGAATCTTCTTTACCCACTTTGACCTTGGTCATGCCTTTGAAAAATGTAAATAAGCCCCATCATTTATAGTATTGTGACAGCATCTTTTTCATTTTGTTTCGGCATAACTTTAAGGTTAAATTTAAGCTTCACAAGAACAAATGCTAAAATTTTAGTTATTATCTCACTTAAAAATATAACTTTGAATGGGATTAAATCTCAGGATACTTCTCTTTTTTTTCAAGTGAGTTTAACATTTATTAGTTGCATACACACACAGACACACCTCTGCTGATAAGATGCTGATGCACAATCATTAAAAACTGAAGAAATGAGTTATGCACACATTTAAAGAGCAAAACCCTTATCCATTTCCCATTACACTTATTTCTTAAAGTATCAATTTGGCAAAATTTTTTGAGAGAACCCATAAAGTTCTTCACTTATGTAAATGTTTAAGACAAAACCCAAGACTGCTACCCTTGAGTTGATTCCAACTCATAGCAGCCCTCTAGGACAGAGAAGAACTTGCCTCCTAGGGATACTAGGCCGAACTTTTATAGAAGCAGACTGTTTTATCTTTCATTACTAACCTTTTGGTTACCAAGTACTTAACCAATTCTTATGTATTTCAGGCTTGCTAAATTAAAATGTGCTTGCATTGCAATATGCATAGAACTTCAAATCAGTGACTTCAAGTTCAAGCAACATCTTCATTTCTTATGAGCAATAAAAGAGTGTTTCTTTACTTCTGAGACTAGAAAAATAAGTATATTGCATGAATGTGCTAAATGTTTTCCTTGCTGCTGATTCTAAAACCATGCTTTTAGTAACTAATCAGACTCAATTTAATATTGTTAAAATAACAAGCTCTCTTACAAACCTTTTAACGACAAAATTTCAAACTTACATACAAAAATTATCTCTGAATTGGAAATTCCAACTTTTTACTAATACTAGTATAGATTTTTCTTTTCTTTTTCCCTGTCAAAATGAATTTTGAAGGAAAGTAGAACTGAAAAATGCTACAACATGGAAAACAAAACAAAACCCTTGAAAACATTATGCAGAGTGAAAGAAGGCTGCTACCAAGGATCACAAATGATCCATGGTATTCTACTTATATAAAATGCTCAAAATAGGCAGTCTATAAATGGAATGTTGAATGAAATTGCCTTGGACTGGGAAGTATGGAGAGATTGGGAAGTGAAGAGTCAGGAAGGGTGATGACTCTAGGGTACTCCTAGCTTTCTTCTTTGGGGCAATGAAGATGTTCTAAATTGTGGCTATAGTAATGGATACAGATCTCTTTGAATATAATAAATGTCACTCTGCAAATTTAACAGGAAAGTGTATGGCATATAAACTATATTTCAAAAAGCTGTTTAAAAAATGGATTAGAAAACTGCAATTATTTGTAGTTTTGTTCATTTAATGACTTACATCAATTAATATTTTAGTTAACATAATTCTATTGGGAGTGGGTTTGAAAAGGAAAATCCAGCCACCTAAAATTACATCCTCTGATTAGACTATTAGAAGTGAGATGCTAATTTTTCCACATATTTTACTTTGCTGAAATAATCTCTCAGTGTATAGTTCTTTCCTGTTTTGCTTTCATTGAAATCAAGGGTCTTCTACACATGCTACATCCTGGAGGCAGCCATTATGGACAAATACCCAACTTACCCTAACCAGTTAACTTTGACATGTTTGCAACTGTTGTTGCTCAGTTCTAATGGTTCACATGGAAAAACGCTGTCACAAAAGCCCCCCTAAAAAGTGGCAACCGCCATTTGCTTCTGAAGAGACTCTTCTTTCTTTAGTGGAAAGCAGCTTCCTAGCAAGGTGAAAATCACCAAGTCATGAAATAGGACTCTGACATTTAAAAATTTTGTAGAAATGTACTTATTTTTGTTTTTAAACATGGTACGAAGCATATCCAAATAGGATAGGACAAAAAGTAAAGACTGTCACCTTTGAGTATTACATTCTTTTAAATAACAAACAACTCTCTATCAGACCAAATGGACAACCGTTACTGAAGTATAGAAGAGAAGATGGGGTTAGCAATGAGACTAAGTTAATGGAAATGGAACAATGATAGCAGAAATAATAAGAATGCTGATACAATCAACATGAAGAATGTAACCAATTTCACGGAACAATTTGTGTGCAAACTGTTGAAGGGGAACCTATTTTACTCTATGTACACACAGCACTTTGTACAGTATGCACTTTGCTTAAAGTACATACAGTCCTTTCACCAAAATACATTCTCTTTAAACATTTTAAGAACAAAATGTAATTTCTAAGTGAGTGTTGCTGTCCTTGAGTGGCGATCCAGGGCTCAGACATCAATGTATTACTCATCGTTGTGTGTTCAAGACTCGATGGCACATAGTTTGGGAACTTCATTACTTGGAACTTCACTGTACTATTCTGATCACAATACTCTTCCTGCTAAGGTTACTTATACATGCACACATACTTACTTCCATATTTTGTGTATTTTCAACTTGCCTAAAATCCATTTTTGAGGAGTGAAGTGATATATAAACACTTTTTGAAATAATTTCATTGAATTTAAATGAACATTGACAATTTTACAACAATATTGCTTTAGTTATTTTCAAAGATTGGAAAGCTGTTTCACAAGAAAAAATAAATGTAAATAACCATACTAAAATAATCATACCAGAATTAGGAGGGAAAATAGAACAGTGATAACAGGATAGCCTGCATTCAAAGTAGCTTGGCTATCCTACTTGGGACATGTTATATAATCTTGACTACCTATTTTCCTACCTATTAAATAAGGAAAACGATCATGAACTGCTATAATTTAATTTGTCCCAGTTTGTGGATAATATGAACATGACTGTGTCATCATCTCTCTTTTTAAAAACTTTGTGTTAGGTAAAGCCTGGCAAAACAGATTAGTTTGTCAATGAACAATTCATACACATGCAGTTCTCATAATGCATCATCACTTATCCCAAATCCCCCCATTCCTCTTTCTTTCCCCATCCTTTTGAAGGTTGTTCTTGGGTTGATCTCAACTGGCTGATTATTCTAAGTTGTACATACCTCCCAGTGTTACTGTTTTCCCCTATGTAGACATATTCTTTGGCTGAAAATTGACCCATGGAAGTGAACTATTTCCGGACCTGAAGGGTGACTAAGGGCCATAGTCTCAGGGTCCCACGTGTCACAGTCTCTTATTTCCTGTGAAGTCTAACAGAATCAGTAATACAGAAGCATGCATTTAGGATTTAGTTTCTTCTATTTTAAATTGAAATGCACCATTTATATAATATAGGCACCCTAGTTGTACTGCTGGTAAGTCTTGGTCTGTTAATGGCAAGGTTCAAATCTACCAGCAACTACTTGAAAAAAAGATGAGGCTATCTGTTCCCATGAAGCTGTAGTGTCGGGTTGCCTGGCAACATAGGGTTGCTAGGAATCAGAAGTGATTTGATGGCATTGAATTTTGCTTTTGTTTCTTTAGTATGACTGAGGCGCCCTGGTGGACAACAGTTAAGCAATCGGTTGATAAGCTGGTAGTCTGAACCCACCAGGCAGGTCCATGTAAGAGAAGACCTGATGATTTTGGCCTGTAAAGATGACAGCCTAGGAAACTTGCCCTACAGAGTTACTATGAGTGGGAATTGACTTGATAGTGCACAATAAGCATGACTCAGAGGTGGTACTTCAATGGACTGAAAAGGTGAGGGTTTCTATTTTTTTAACCTGGCAAATTCTGATCTAATATTTAATACCACTATAATATATGAGGTGCCCTGCAGGCGTAGTGGTTATGTGTTGGGCTGCGATACACAGGGTCAGCAGTTTGAAACCACCAACCACTCTATGGGAGAAAGACTGGGCTTTTCACGCCCGTCAACAGTCTCCGAAACCACAGGGTGTTTATTATGAGTCAGCATTGACTCTATGGCAGTAAGTTTTGAGTCTTATTATATACAAGAAACCCTTGTGGTATAGTGGGTTAAGCACTGGGCTGCTAAGTGCGTGGTTGATGGTTCAAACCCACTAGTAGCTGTTTTTGACCATAAAGATTAATCTTAGAAACCCCAAGGAGCAGTTCTACTCTGTCCAATAGGGTTGCTTTGAGTAAAAATTGAATCTATGGTAGCGGTTTTTATATTATACACATCAAAATATAACTATTAGCTGTATGTTCTTCAACTAATGGATGATTGCTACAAATGAAATATTTCAATTCTGTATTTCCCTTGGACTTGATTATGTACTATGATGGTGATCTGAGTAACAGTAAGAAAATTTTGTTTTTTCAGTTTCATGCTTACCTACTATACTCTTTTCTGGGGCTGGTGGCACAATGTAACCGACATGTAAATATTTGCTTGCTAATTTGCTATGCAAACCAAGAAAGTCACTGAATCTTCTTTTCACTGAAAATTCACTTTTACTGAACATAGAAAGGGAAGTCTGTGAATGAAGAAGAGGAAATTCAATTTCTTATTATTAAGCAATTTAAGTTAATTTCGTACATAACTGTGAACATACATTACTTTGCAAAAGAATACAGAGTAGCTGTATAAAATGGTATCCAATTCTATAGGCATAGTTTTTGTTCATCTTTAAAAACAACAACAACAAACTCAAGAGGACATAAAATATTTGCTTTCTTCTATCCTCCACGCATCTCATCACATACTATATAACTTTATGGTAATGAGTCTTAGATATTTCTCTCTGGCTCGGGTCATTTTCTAAGCTTTCGTCCTAGACATTTGTTACTAGGTCTCCATAGAGGATTGGTTTTAGGACCCTAGTGGAATCAAAATTCTGCCGATGCTCCAGTCCTTTATATAAAATGTAACAGTATTTGTATATGTCCTATGCATATCTTCCTCTATGCTTTATATCATCTCTAAATTACCTATAACGCCTAAGATAGTGTAAATAACTCAAGTCATTTATTTCAGTGAGCTCCAGAACCATCTCTGACTTCTTATAGCCATTACACACACACACTCTCTCTCACTCACTCTCTCTTTTAACATTTAAAAGCTTTTAATCATTGCAGTGGTCTTTGAACTGGAAATCCTGACCTCTGTTTTGACCCCCATAATTCATACTGAGGCAGAGAAATCATTCTAAAACAAAAATCTAACTGTGCTAGTCTTATTGAAGTCTTTAATGGCTTCCTAATATGCTGAGGATGAAGCTCAAACTCCTTAATGTGGCTGTTCATGGTACAGGAAGGTTTATTGCCAACAGTTCTATCATATACTACTTTCTACAGACCCTGAGGAGCACAAGGCCAAGTAAGGCTCACCTTTGTTGTTACTCTATATGCCATGTAAGCATTCATGCCATCTCCTAAAAGAAAAGTAAAACATTATTACAAATCACAAGCTTAAAAATAAAAAATAACATTTTAACACTAACGATAAATGTAGTAAAGTAACACAAGCAAATCAGAGATAAAAAAATACAGATATAAAAAATATGTAAATATTAACTTACCAACTTTCTCTGGATCTGATACTCCAATTTCTATATCAAAAAGATCTCCATTTGATTCTTCTTCAATCTAGAAGAGGTTATTATTATTTTGGTGTTGAAGAAAATAATATAATTATGTTATAGTTACATAATACTAACTAAAATTTCTACCCTTTACTGTGAGGGCCCCCATCACAGTTAAAAACAATTGCACTCCATTCTGAAAAACAGTAAAAGTTTTCTTATATTCTGTCTGTGTAAAAAAGCACACACAGTAGGAAAAAATATATTTGTAGAAGTAAAGGAGAATCGTGTGTTCTTAAAAATCCCTCAGATACAGGGTGCGATGCAACAATGATGAGAAATACAACCTTCCTCTAGTTCCTAAAGGTTTCCTCCCCGCTCCCACTACCATGACTCGAATTCTATCTTGCAAGACTGGCTAGACCAGAGGAGGTACACTGGTACAGATAGGAACTGAAAATTCAGGGAATCCAGGACGGATGAGCCCTATAGGACCAGTGGTGTGAGTGGCAAAACAGGGAGGGTAAAGGGAGAATGGGTAGGAAAGAGGGAACCGATTACATGGAACTGTGTGTGACCTCCTCCCTGGGGGACAGACAACCAAAAAGTGGATGAAGAGAGACGTCGGACAGGGCAAGATATGACAAAATACCCATTTATAAACTGTCAAGGGCTCATGCGGGAGGGGGGAGCGGGGAGGGAGGGGGAAAATGAGGACCTAATGTCGGGGGTTTAAATGGAGAGAAAATGTTTTGAGAAACGATGTACAAATGCACTTTACACAATTGATGTGTGTATGGATTGGGATAACAGTTGTATGAGCCCCTAATAAAATGTTAAAAAATAAAAATAAAATAAAATGAAAAAAAAAATCCCTCAGATACAGGAGAAAGGTTGTAGATTTTTTAATGAACATCATAGATTTTAAAATTCCATTTAATAAATCTCCAGATTGAGATTATTGAAATAACTTATCAATGTTTAAAAAATACTACCATTCAGCAGACAACCTATACATATCCTCCTCCATGCTTTAAATCACCTCTAGATTACTTGTCATATCCAAAATCTGGTAACTTCTCTCTATACAAGTAGCACTTTCGTGATCCCTTTCAGTCTTTGTATAATTATGTATAATAGTTAAAGCAACCTTTTTCCTTTCAAGTCAATTACTACATTCAGAGGTCACTGAAACGAACAGTAAATAGGAAAACAAAACCCTGTGAGATTGCACAGGATGCTCACATTTAAGTCAGTATTCTAAACAGTAGCCCTGTAAGAGCGCTTTGTTAGTCTCAGGGAGAAAGACCTCAGAGATTATTATTCTGAGTTTTTAAAGGAATATCAATAGTCTAAGAAAATCTGCAGAAAAGTAAATTTTTCTAGCCATAATCCTTTTTTTAAAATTGGCTCCCTCTTCCACACATTTTAAAAAGAAAATCTTACTTGACCTGTCCCATGCACAGAACAAAGTGTTATGTCACAGAATGAACACATCTGTAGCCAGAACCTTTGTCAAGAGACAGACACCATCATTCTCTAGAAAGCCCGCTCATCCTGCATCTACTCCAGCCACAACCCTGCCAATATAACCATGATCGTGACTTTTGTTACATGCCGCCTAGAATTAATTCCCACATAGAGCAAAACAAAACCCTATGGGACAAAACAAAACCGCCCCATAGGTTTTCTTACGCTGTCCCATCTGTGGGAGTTGAACACCATGTCTTTTTTCTTGCAGATGGCTAGAAGGTTTAAATCATTTTTTGCTTAGTAGCTGAGCACTATGAGGGAGTTTTATGCTGACGTCTAACACTATACGTTAGTTTTATTTGTCTTTAGAATTCAAATGAGTTAAGTATTCTTTATGCCTGGCTCTTTTGCCAAAAAACATATTCCTTGATTATTCCTTGTGTTAGTTTTAGTTTTAAAACCATAGTCATTTTAATCATCTATATCTAGATAAATGGCCTTTAAACACATACAATTCTGATACATGGTACAGCATGGATAGATCTTAAAAACATTACACTGAGTGAATTAAGTCAGACACAAAATGCAAATATTGCATGATCCCACTCACACGCAATATGTAGAAAAGCAAACATAAAAAGGCAGAAAGTAGATTGGTGGCTACCAGGTGCTAGAAGTGGGAGATATGGGAAGTTATTACTTAAAGGTGCAGTTTCTTTATGGGAGTATGAAAAAGTCTGGAAATAAGTACTGCTGATGATGGCAACATTGCAGATATATTTAATGTCACTGAGTTGTACAATTAAAAATGGTAACTATGATGAGCTTTAAGATTATATATTTTATTCTACTAAGTGGAGCCCTGAAGGACAGTGGTCAGGTTAAGCATGCTAACCTAAAGGATAGTGGTTTGAACCTAACCATTCTGTGGAAAACAGCTGTGACAGCCTGCTTTTGTAAAGACTCACAGCTGTATGAAGCAGTTCTGTCCTACAGGATTGCTATTAGGAGTTGGACTTGATTCAACAGCAGCACAACCATAATAAAATGAGAAGATAACAACTATTATGTGTTAACAGTACTTAACAGTATTTAACAAATAAAATCACTCCAAATACCATTCCATTGTGATTACCAGTGTTCGGAGCACTTTCATACATTATCTTATTTGCCTGTCAAAAGCAGCCTGAAAAGTATACACTATCATTTTATGATAAAAAATAAGAAACTCTTGGCGTTAAAAAGGAATGATGTGCCCCAGGTAACTGGGTTAAAGACTGGTGGGAGTAAAGCAAGAAGTCAATTCCTTTAGTTCAATATTCCTTCCTCCAACTATTTGAAAGGCTTTAATTAGGATGGGATGTTGGGAAGGAAATAAAGTACTAATTTATAGTTCACCTATTAATACAGAGTGAAAACATTATTGCATACCTCCTCCCTGGATCTATCAAAGATCACGGGCGCAGACATACTCTTAGATTCAATTCTGGGTGCAATGAGAGTAGTAGGAGTGACAGGAGTGACTGCAGGAGAAGGTTCTGAAGAGAGGATAGGATCCCTTTCTGGACTGTCCAATGAAACTTCTTCTGTGGCTTCTAAACATAAATTAAGCAAGTTAGTTAGGGACATTGGCAGTGGTTAATGAATTATGAAAAATATTTGATACACCCACATACAAAATAGCCTTACAAAGCAGTTTTTTGAATCTTCCTTAGTTGTTCCCTGCAACTTTAAAATCAAAAGTGACTGTTAGTTTTATGAAGAATTTCACAAAACCAGCTTAATCATTCATATGACTTAACAGGGATAAAACTAAGAAGAAAGCAACGATGTGGATAATTTCACATCCATTTGTGTGTCAATTTGTTACA